CCCCCCCCCGTTATTCCGAGCTTGAATCAGCACGCTGAATGATGTTTGACAAATGCACTCATTACATCATCCAAGACCTTCAATTCAGAACCAAAAGGCCCTGTCCAGCCAGATTCTTGCACACAAGCTCTAGTGTTGCCTCTCTGAGGAGCATCCCAGGAACTTACCCCACAATGGGCACAGAAGTACCACACTCCAGAAGGTTCAGGAGGAAATTCAAAGCATGATAACTCAGGAGGGAAAAAACCAAAGAACCAAAAGGCTGACAGAACCAGGGTCCAATTCAACAGAGTAACTGAAACATAGGCATAACTCAGTTTTCCAGGGCTAAAGCCCACGGCTGAAGCAGGCAGCCCTGCAAGTCAAGGTCCACGTTTACCAGATACCATGGCCGATGAGCAGAACACTCAAGACTACCAAACCAGATACCACTAGCAGCTTGTAACTTTACACAACTTGCTCCACTGACTAAAATCATCAAAAGGTCCAACTATCCATTTACTCACACCACTTTCATCACACACGGTCCTACAAACTTACCTAAGACACAGAATTTAGATGGTATTACCTTTTTTCTTTTCCTCTTCCCCCCCCCCCCAATTATTCAGTCACCAGTTGCTATGAGAGCCTAAAATTCAGTATAGGCTTCTGTTCATATAAACGCATATCAAGATAAAAATTCAGGAACATTTTAAGAAGCAAAGTTGATCAAAGATTGCTTTGGGCTTAAATAAAAGCACACATTTCACCATCTGTACAGATTTGTAGGGTTTTTACTATATTGTGACCACCTGCTGGAATCTAGGCATTAGAAAACATCCACACTCCATCAAAAACACTTTACCAGACTTCTTAGCAAACTACTAATGGATGCTAAAATATCACTGGATTTGATAGGAGAAAACGCAGAGAGTAATCAACTGTCAGGAATTTAGATCATTCACTAAGCATTCTGCATGCTGTCCGAAGAATCTGAAAAACCTCACCAATTACAGAATAGTTTTTACATGTCATTTACTTTCCTTTTATGGAAGAGTTTTAGCTGTAAATCTGAGTAGCTGTTCCTAAAGTCATGCAATTCCCAGGAAGGCACATAAAATGTCCATCATTTCAAAATGGAGCAGATGAATCAAGCAACTAAATACTAGTAGAGCAAATAGAACATAAAAAGTACTCGGAAAAGAAAATTTATTAACTTTTATATATTCAAGGAAGAGGTTAAACGCTCTTACCGTGCTACCACCAGGAACTGGTCTATCTGCTTGTCTACTAGCGGGTTAAAGGCTTCCCAAACTTTTGTTTCAAGTTTTGACTGATCTCTTCCATCATCCTCACCTGGTTGAAAAACAAACCAGAAATGCTCAGTATGGCCTTTTAAAAATAAACATTCTAGATTTTTTTCATCTCACAATAATTTAACTGCTAACCCAGCTCAGTCACTCTAACAGGCTACAGGGAAAATTTAATTCACTCATTTGCCTGTAACAATTTCAGCTTGACAGACACAGAAACACAGCTCGTCTAAATCGAGCAATCAGATTTTGAAGAACTGGTTTCAAAGGACACGTGTAATGGGAAACTGAGTACATACTTCTCCCAGCTAGACAATGTCTCTTCAGCCCCTCTCCCCAGCTTCCTTCTTTTTCTCCTTTATCTTGCAGCAGTTCCAGGAAAACAGACACACTCTCATCTGCTCTGAGCAGGCTACTCTTGTAGCTGGTTCAACTTGCATCAGCTGTTTTCTAAAGCGGAAGTCATGGCATCAGACTCTCTTGCTATTATTTTCCTGACTCTACACAAACCAAAATACCCTGGAAAAACACAGGAGCTACGGAGGCTTTTTCTTCTTTTTTCTGCTTCCTTTAACAACATCTGGAGATTATCCTTCTCTGAAGCTCTGTGTTGGCCCACTGAGGGAAGAGAATGCCTTTCAAATTACTTCATCCTCACTTAGGAGGCTTGCCCAGCTGCTGAATAAATACCAGTTCCACAGACAAATTAAACAGAGTCCTGACCAATTTGTTTGCCTGTTCTAACATGAGGCTAACAATATCAGCAAAGTTTCTAAGCAAAGACAAAAGCATCTCATTGATTTCACATCTCTGCCCATACAGTCTGTAGAAGGTCCTTCCACAGGACACAACCCCTGCTCTCTTAGGAAGAGCATACTGACAGACATCTCCCCATCCATTACATGAGTCTCAGAAAGGAGAAATTAGATGCCAGTATTCCCTATCCCTCTGTTTTTCACCCACTTTTGGATCTATAGGGTAGCAACACAAAGACAAATCTCTAATTAATTACTATTGGTAACTAGGATTGATTACTGCTACTAATCCCTTTTTTCCTTGAGCCAGGGTCTTTGTGGTCTTACTGCTCTGTGACACAGTGGGGGCAGGCTGAGGTCTCACAACACTTTCAGGCCAGCAAATCCTTCCTCCTGCCTGTTCTGCAGGTGAGAAGTCTAGGCTGGCAGCCAGCACTTGGGATGGGGAGAAGGCTTGGAAGAAAAGGCACCCAGCAATAATGGGCAAATTGATGAGGGAAGACAGCATTTAACTGGCAGTAATTTGGGAAGGGTTCTTAGAGGGAAGTGAGGCTTGATTAAAAACACAAAAAGGCTTTACAGGCGCAATGAAAATGTGTGTTTCCCATGGAAATTCTGAAATCTATTAATAAAAGGAGTGCAAACTCTGAGAGAGCCAATTAATTCAATTTGTTTCAACAACTTTTATGATTTGGACAAACGCCCACTTGAAGACTGGTTTGAGACATAACATAATTGTGTTCAGCAGGCAACAGCTTCAGTCACCAACAAACCAGGCCACCGCTGTACGCATGGCCTGGCAGTGGAAACCTCCACTTCCCACACCTACACAGGCCACAAACACAGAAGTGGCCACATTCGACATAGCCTCTTGACAATTTAAATAAATGATGGAAATTACCCTCTTTTAGTAAGTCTGTTATATCTGCCTGGTATCTGTTTCCAACTCGAATCTCTCCTTTATCAGCGAGTAGGGTCTTCTGTTGAGGATCATATACTAGTGAATAAAAGAAGAAATCCTAAAAATAAAACAAGACAAAAAAAGTTAACAGTATTATTAACTTTTACTTTCAGAACTGCATACATACTATCAAGGTTTTACATTTTAAATCTGGTTTTATTACCTATACGTAGATTTTTAAAACTGGGTGAACAAACAATAAGTGAACCACCAGCTTTAAAACCCCATGTCCAACAGTGCCATTTTCTTCTATATTGTAACAGCCCTCCTCAAAAGTAGCCATTCCCTTAATACACAGTCTTTGAAGTGAACAAAGCTCCTCTTGCACAAACAAGGCTCAGAAGGGCCAGGAGATAATTTTTAGTAGTATCAGCTGTTTCAGAACACAAAATTGCACTTTCCCATATACCAAAATAGCAATACTAGATGTTATTGACTTATCCACACAGAAATACTGGTACAAACTAAAGTATAACTTCAGAACATTACAGCCATACTAACAAAACACCCCATAGGGACATGAAGCCCCAAACAACCTCTGTGGTCTTTGCTGGACTTGCTCCACTACATTAATGTCTCTTCTGTGCTGGGAGGCCCAAAACTGGACACAGCACTCCAGAAGTGGTCTCATATGTTATGAACTGAGGGAATGAATCCCCTTCCTCCATTTACTCACTACACTCCTGCTAATATAAACCAAGATGTCCTTGGCTTTCCTTGTCACAGGGACGCACTGCTGACCAAATTCTTGTTAGCCACCACTGAAGCTTAAATCACCGTATTTTCTTCTGCTCATTGTTAGAATAGGGGTATTAAATTTGATATCAGCAGTAATTAGCTGCAGGTGCTATTGTTCAAGTAGATTAGAAAAGGGCTAAATAAAGCTGCCTGACTTCTGTCGCCTGGGTGTGTAAAATTAAAGCAAGAAGTCATACTATAATGAGAACATCCTGCCAGGCTGAAGAAAGAACACAGCCGAAATTTTAACTACTTAAAACTGCACAGTATAAGTAATTAAACTTTTCTGCATGGATAAGTACTTAGCTATAGCTACTGAGTGACACATTCGAGACCAGGTATGCTCTATCGAAGTATAGCGTGGAATATGGGGCAGGAAGAGAGCTCTGGCAGGACATGAATTAACAGACCTTTCATAACCTCTATTCACGCAACCCCATTAGCAGGAAAGAAAGGTTTTTCTGAACAGAAACACAGGACATGCGATGTGCCATTTCTGACATATCAGGTTTCTGGCTCATTTTCCCTTTCCCCATACTTCTGTGTCAATAGCAAGCATCCTGTTTAAATACATCTCATTTCATGCTCACCTCATTTTCCCTTTCCCTATATTTGTATGTGTCAACAGCATGCAACAAAAATTAGGACAAAACCAGCATCAGTTTCAAGCCCTGTTCATCTTCATGAAGAGGTGGCAAGGGAAAAGAGTCTCCCAATCTGTCATACAAAGCCCAAAAAAGAATCACTGTGAGTTTCCCCAGTAACAGGGCAAAAATTCTGAGGGCTAGGGCTCCAAAGGTACGTTCTAGTTCTGTTCCCCAGACCTGATGCCATAGAGGTAAGGTGTCCTGTGTTTTCTTTGCGTGTATAATGCATCCAGCATCCAGTTACAGGATTTAAGTGTTGAACATGGTATTTTCTGCTCAAATTTTAATAAAAATCAGCATTTTTCTTGGAAGAAATGAACATCTATGGAAGGGAGGAAGAAAGACAGAAAGGAGCCAAGCAAGCCAGCCAAACCTGCTTTGTTACCTAAGAAAGCTACTGCATGAAACGGTATCACCTATGTAGCACTGCACAAGAGGCAAGACATGAATTCACACCAATCTCCTTCAGCAAAAAACATGCTATTTTCCCACTACGAAAGCACAAACTCCAAGGGCCAGAACAATCTCATCTTATGTCACAATAACAGGATAAAAGTCATAGCTAACTTTGCAAAATGCTGTTCCAATACCAGCCAAGTCAGCTGCAAGGGTTGGGTTTGGGGTGAGGGGGATTTGGTTGCATCCTAAATGTATGACATTTTTGAAAAAATTGATTCCTACTCCCCCAGGCACCAGAGTCAAATTACATCAACCTACCAAGAGAAAGGAGCTTCAGAGCTTATGAGAACTCATTTATACTATAGCTGTGTAAAGAAATCTGGGTCTCTTGCTCCTTGACATACACAAAATTCAAGATATTACAATATTTTGAGAATGTATTGTTGCATAAATAAAACATAGGAAAAGCTTTTGTCTTGCAACCTTCCATTTTATAAATACAGTGTTTTATTTGTTCCAGCTCCAAAATATCTAACTGTAGGACAAAGTGCAACATTAATGCTTTTCAGGCACATTGCCCAGCAAATACACAAACCAAACACTGTAGTGTAATAACACTATGGGCCCAAGGAAGGTCAGTCCTACAGGCAATTTCTTAACATAGTCTTTCTTGGCCAGGGGAAGTCATTCATTGTGGAAGGGTTTTCTCCCATGGTATTTGACTGTTAGATGCCCTATTGCTTCTCTTTCATTGATTTTAAATTGATTTTATTCTTTTTGATTGATTATCTCTACAAAATAAAACCCATTCTTCTCTACCAGACTCAGGTCAGCTTTTTATATCTTGTCTAGTTTTGTCTTGAATCAAGCAGGTTAAATGAAAGAATTAAAAGCCTCTGGGCTGTTTTCCCCAAGCAGATCCTCCTCAACAGAGAAAATGTGGAAGTTTAGGGGCTCAAGTGTGAATACAAAACAGACAGTAATCCCCAGAGATAATGCAATACCACTGTCATCTCCCATAGAAGCACAAAAATCAGCTCATGCAAACTGAATGGCATTTCTGAAAACATTTATTAAAGGTCAGTTTAGTGCCAATGCAAACTATAGTCTAAGAAACAAAGCAGATCCTTGTACACTCTAAAGAGTGCATGAACTCTTGATCACCACTACATGATAGGAACAATTTTCAGAAGAATGTCACAAGATGAATGATGTTCACAAGAAAATAACACAGTTCTTTAAAATCCTCCATGCTCATTTTAGCTGTCAAAACTGTGTATGCTGATTTTACAGCAGTGAAGAAAAAGAAGGGTTTTCTCTTTTAATTTCAGATCCCAGAAAACACCCAACATGTTTGGAAAAATTAAAATGACCTGCCAAGAGTTAAAATTAAACCATGACTTTCTACTTCTCCAAAGCGTTAGACAGACACATATGCTCAGAGCTTCCCTACCCAAGCCCCTAAACTACCTGTAGCTATAGCCAAGAACCAAAGCCACTACAAAACGTCAGAACAGGAAAAAGAAAACAGGTTCAAATTGAAAGTACAATACAGAAATAGTAGAGAAATATCTCTGTGAATGTAACAGAGATCTTCCTGAGGAAGATTACAGAGAGAGGGTGGAAGGAGGAAAACAGAGATAACACAAATGTAATTTTGCTATGCTTACTATCTCCCTAAAAAATTCTGCCTGCATGCTTAACCTCCTTCAAGGCAGACAGCCTCACGCTGAAAACATACTTTTAGTGGTCATATCATATAAAAAAAATGAAATTACAGATTCCCTAGAACTGCTTAGGCTTTATTGACAGAAGCCATGTTAAAAAGACCCAAAAAAGATTTTGAACAAACAGATGGGGGGGGGGG